GGGCGCCTAGTTACGGGGCTCGAACAACATGTTACAATTATTTTCCTACGTGTTTGTGTCCAAAATGCATTTGTGCCATATACAAGTATATTTGTGAGGAAGTGAGGATATTTTGTCATATTTTTCTCTCATGGTCTCACTAACTTATTCCATTCTTCAACTGAAAATTTGGAAGCAGATTTAATACAATATAGTTCACACTTTTTTCCGGGGTGCAATTATAGAAGCATAACATATTTTTGTGTTATGTTGGGTTATTACTTAAATATAGTCCATGCAGACCCAACCCAACTCAGTCATAAACAAAACGTAGGGTTCAATTTTTTTTTTTTATGTGTTTGAATTTAGCTTTTCCAAATTAGATGTATGAATCATGTGATTAAATAAACTAAATTCAACCCACCCGACCCATATATACCCTACTTTTATATCTCTTGTGATAGTTGTAGAAACATTTAGTTTGTTACTTTGTTTAGTTTTTTTTAAGTTACTTTGTTTAGTTTTACATATTCATTTGAACTTTCACATGCGAGAGATAAATCTAACTTATGGTCTACGAGTACTTCATTGGGTAACATCAAACTTCTTTGTTTGATTTGTTGCTTTCTTAGAGGTTCTTCTGGATGAAGTGAAATCCATATCCTTTTGGGTATTTCTTGTGTTTCACGTCTTTTGCTTTTTGAAGCTTTCACATAGTTGTTGTGTAGTGACATATAACAGGTTCTTTATATGATTGCATTGCATACGAACTCTAGTGTATCGTTCTTATCGGTCTTATAATTGTGTTACACGGTCGATATTTTGTAGACTTATTTTGTTAAAAAACTTTATATTTAATTACTCATATTCCAAGATGGAGCCGTTTAGGCTTCAGCGGCCCCAAAACACTCCTTATTAACCACTCTGTTAATGACCCGCAAAACACCACTCTTCCTACTCCTCACACCTCAAAGTACCTGATTAGTTTTAAATTACATAACATGACAAGTTTGATTTTATTCGTCTTATTCCTATCAATTCTAGTCTCTTTTGATCAATATAATACCCGTATTGTGAGAGGCGGGTATGCTCCTGAATCCTCATTTGATCATTTCGCCCTGGCCATGTCCATTCTCTACACAATTTTTCTAATTTTTGAACAATAGTGATTCAAACTACTTATAATTTGTGCGATTGTCCAAAATTGAGAGATTAAAATTGTAATTATGTTTATTTTACAAAAATAATATTTTCACTCTTCTCAAAGTTTTTTGTAAGAAATTTTTTTCGTCAATAAAACTATCACAACTTTAAGTTCTAGACTTAAAACGATAAAACAAACTAAGAACTTTTCCAGAGAAGAACAAGTATCAGTTTGATGGCCACTTGCATCATCTCCACATATTTTTGTAGGGACCAAACCCATACATTATTTGATGAAAGATTGTCTCCATCTATGAAACACTGATAATGAAGGATTATCTTTTATCCATGTGAAATGTTACTTTGTGAAAGGTTGTTCTCTTCTCTAAAAGTGGTTTGGCCATATTGCAGTCAAAAAGTGGCAAAACCAAAATGTTTAGTCATTGTTATAATTAATCTGAAAACTACTTAGATGTTGATGAACGCTTCTAGGACAATGGTTGGTTTCTCTTTGTATCTAATAAATTGTTCTTGCCACGCTATTGGAATATTTTGTCACTCCCAGTGCATGCAATCGATCGAAAAGATCATACCCGGGAAGTCACGTCGATCGCTGTGATGAAGGAGGCGAAGATCCTCCACATTTGGTGCTCGTAAGTTCTCGCGGCCATAGATGCAGATTATGAGATTTCAAAATTTTCGCATGCACTGCAGTACAATGGTCTCACTCATATCAAATGTCTCATCTAGGGAGTCGGCTGAGCATCCATTTGAAAGCATTCGCAGGGAAGTAGTAAGCTTTTATTTCAGGGAGAATGACAAGTGACCTACATCAACTCGGCCTTGCTGGAAATAGGAGTCATGTTGAACAACGCCAGTCATGACTCAGTTGAACAAGGAGAGGGGCATCTGAAATCTCATTTTGAAAAGTCTAGCATCGTACGTTGAATTGGGAACGAAATATTGTTGCATCAAGCGTTGGTGTACTTCTATCCTGATATGCCTCACTGATTTACGTGAATGTGAACGATGCCGAGATGAGGATGCTTGCTCTTGGAACTTGAAGGCTCCTGCAATCACCATCATTTCTTGAAGATCACGGTGAAGCTGCCACTCATACTACCATTGCCGATCATTAGCTTCTTGTTGCCTCTCATCAGTTTCTGTATTAAGGGAAGTGGGAACTCATGATGCAAAAAGAGGTTTGAGTGTGCAGAGAGAAAAATGAAGAAGGTTGAATGGTGGGATGGACAAATTGATAAAGTTTAGCATTCATTTATCGACACACGAAAAGATTCTCCAGCAATAATATGACTAAATCTCGATAAACAATTGATGGAACCACTCAATATAATTAAAGTTGCATCAACAGTTGATGATGCATATCATTCTGATTAAAGTTGGATGAACAGTTGATTTTACCGCTCAATATGATTAAACCTAGTAAAAAAATTGACGGCACCACTCATTTTGTGTAACAAGTGATGAGTCATGGTCTTTTGCAAATTATTGTGATTTCGTCATATTTAATTAGGGATGATAAAAAAATGTTTAAATTAAAAAATATATATGAAAATATTTTTCTTGATTAATTATTATCACCTATGTAAAATTAATGACCAAATTATCAACATAAAGTGACGATGCTAAATTAATTTTGTCAAAAAAAAAACACTTATCAATTATAATTTTGTCCTTTCCACCCATTATGGCCAAACCCCTCCTCAAATCCTCTTTTCCATTCCACTGTCTGTGGATGGTCTTAGCAGGGAAGGGTTCTTCATCAAGACTACAAACTTTTTCAAGTTTTTGTCCTGTGCCTGCAAAATTTTGCAGCTAGGCGAGATATTTTCGGTAATTTGTAGGAGCTGTGTGTAGAGTCAACTGAGAACTAACCGATTAGGGTCAGTCCTTTGGTTCTGTTAGAATGGTAAGTAAGAATCATGGGTAGGTAGTGTGTATTGGAGGATGTGTACACAAGCGGTTAGTTGTAAATAGGGTGAGCATTGGGTGGTTGAATAAAAAAAGTTATTAGTAATCGACTCACTCATTATCACATGGGTGGTTCCTATGAGTAGGTGCGGGTGAACTGTGGTGTACCCACCACTACCCACCCAACATTTTAACCTCAAACCATCGAAGCTCTCACATATAGCTTTACCGAAAATAAAATCCTTACAATCACAAAAAATCCTCTCTATTTTGATAAACTGATTGTGTTGTGAGGTGTGCTTAGAAAATTGGAGGTACGTATAAGCATAACTAGTAGACAAAATGGCAGGAAAAAGATATGTGGCTTCCCCAAAATTACACAATCCCAAACTACCATCGATTCATCCTTCATGGCTTCCATCAATTTGGAATTGTAATTTACGATTATAGGTGAAAAAGCTATTTACGCTCACAACGCCTAGGCGAATGAGGCGCTAGGCAAGACCAAAATATTTGCTTTATGATTAGTGCCTTCTTAAACTTTGGTTATCATCAGGCTCTTAGACTATGTTTATCAGTTTAATATTTTATAATTTGTGGATAGTTACCAATACCAATATTGTAAAATAAATTATTCACCTAATTTGTTGATTAAGGGTTATTGACTTTGAAAAATTCTTTCATTATAAGTTTAAAATTTAAAACTATTAAAATTATTTGATCATATGGAATATATGTTGTAAACCCACCAATTTCACCCAACCTCCCATCATCCCAATCACCCAACCCAACCCTCCCTCGTGTAATGCTTGGGTGGGTGTGAGTCATTTTCTCCTTCACCTCTCACGTAGTGGGTGGCTCCAAACCCACCAAAATCTGCATAAAACCACTCATGTTCACCCTAGTTGTAAAGGCATAATCCTTTTTCACGAACGATATATTTATCTACCCAAAGTGAAAGACTTTTCTCGGTCCCAGTGGTGGAGCCAGAAATCTGAAAAGGGGGCTAAAAATTTTACGCCCAAAGAATTTGAACTAGCGAGGGGAGGCTAAAGTCTTATCAACTACTACATTTTCTCAATTTATTACAGAATTTACATTTAATTTTACGTAATTTTGAGCGTTGAGTGCGTTTATAATTTCCCCTGCCAATAACGTGGCTCCGCCTGGTCCTAAACCAGAATGTCACGGTAGACGTTCTCACAATGCATAATCCATCCGACTAATCCTCAAAGACAAATTAGTTCTCAAATGAACATTAAACCGAGAGGTGTGATAGGTTAATAACGACTCAATATAAACATGATAACTAAACTGATTAAACTTCAATATTATCGAGTTAAGTCAAATTATCACATATAAGCTAAGCGATTGATGTAATCAGCCATTAACAACAAAAGTTAGGATTCAAAGCTTATTAAACACAATCTCAACATTTCTTTTGAAAACAAGTAAACAACACAATCTCAACATTCCTTGTCAGAATAGGAATTTTTGCAACTTTCTCCGGAGAAGAGAGAATATTAGAATAAACAATTGAAAAAAGTACAGGAAAGTCCAAGGGCAAATCCGTAAATAGGCAGTCTTGTTTTTCCATTTTTTTTTGTTTGGGCTAGGATTGGTGAGAAAGGCACAGTTACACTATAAAGCACTGAATCGCTTCGTCTCTCTCCACAAACTCCACGGCGCAGATCCGAGGAGTTTGGAATTCTGAAAACCCTAATTTTGTCATCAGAAGTATACTGTTTCGCTTTCGTCCGGCCACTTCTCTCACTCTCTCGCCAAATCACGTTTAGCTCTCTTCTCAATCAACAACACTCCTCTTGTAGGTAAGAACAGTTCGGAGCGCTTCCTTATTCTGCTTCAATGACGCTGCGTTTTTTGCTCTCTGTGTTTCTTGTGCTGCACTCTCTCGGTTCCGATCGTCGTATGGAGTTCTGGGTTGACTTGTTGATGGTGAGATCGCTGAGAAAGATCGGATTTTCACTGTCCGAATGCTTCCTGCTTTTGTGGGTGTTGAATTTTCCGAAGCAAAATAGGATTGTGGATGGTGGCTTAGGGTTGTGATCTCCTGAGCTTGATTGGATTTAGATACGGTGTTCTCTCCGATCTGTGGTTGATCTGTTCATGTAACGTTCTGATTCTTGAACTGGTAGTGAGATGATGATGTTAATGTAATCACAGGACTTCCTCGTTAGCTGGCTTGATGTGGCCTTCGATAACTGTTCTGAACTATAACTGTCTGAGGCTTGGTGGCTGGATATTTGGAGAAGATGTAATGATGTACCGTGGCATGAGATGGTTGGTTCGTGTCTGAATAGCGTTCTGATTGATCATGACTTTTATGTGTGGTGGTAGGTGTTTCGTTGGTTTGATAATCTAGGGAAGCGGGTAAAGCAGTCTCTGGTGTTGCACCTTGCCTTTTCTTCTGTATCAGATGGCTGTTCCCCCCTATGCTCAGCTTCTCCAGATATAGACTCGGAAGTTTAATGCTTCTAATCCTCATGTTACTTGTCTTACAAGTTTGGCCTTCTGTGACACTTGGAATTTCTACTCTTCCTGCTCTAGGGTGTTTCACAATAAAGTATGTGTTTTGGAGGTTCTGCAGTAGTTTGGAACCTGGAATTGCTCATTTTGCACTGGTCCCTGCTTCGGTTATACTTGTTATTTGCTATGACCCCTGCTGTTGTCATTTCACTTGGGTATGCGAGTAACAAAAGTAGTTTGGTATTTTGCAGTTATGGCAGGTGAGGCACCAGAAGGCTCGCAGTTTGATGCTCGTCAATTTGACAAGAAGATGACCGATCTGTAAGTTCTGTGTATAATTTTCAGCCTGTAGATTGAGGATAATAACGTGGTCCCTAGTCTTGCTTGTGATGTCAGCCTGATGGCATAATATCCGTTCTAAAAAATCTTTCAGGCTCTCTAGTGATGCTCAAGATTTCTTCACTCCCTATGACGAAGTCTATGAAAGTTTTGATGCAATGGGATTGCAAGAAAACTTGCTTAGGGGTATCTATGCTTATGGTAAGCTGTGCACTCCTGTGGAAATAGAAGCCGAGTGGATTCTCAAATAATGTTATTTGATGAGTCTGATTTTCCATTCCCAATCTTATAATTCAGGTTTCGAGAAGCCATCTGCAATCCAACAGAGGGGTATTGTCCCTTTCTGCAGGGGACTTGACGTCATTCAGCAGGCTCAGTCAGGAACTGGGAAAACAGCAACTTTTTGCTCTGGAATTCTGCAGCAGCTCGATTATAATATAGTTCAGTGTCAAGCTCTCGTCCTGGCTCCCACTAGGGAACTTGCTCAACAGATCGAGAAGGTCATGAGAGCACTTGGAGATTATCTTGGGGTGAAGGTCCATGCTTGTGTAGGTGGGACCAGTGTTCGTGAGGACCAACGCATTCTCCAAGCTGGTGTTCATGTTGTTGTTGGTACTCCTGGTCGTGTATTTGACATGTTGAGGAGGCAGTCCCTTCGTCCAGATTATATCAAGATGTTTGTTCTTGATGAAGCTGATGAAATGCTTTCACGTGGTTTCAAGGATCAGGTTCAGTTTCTGAAATATCTGTAGCCTCTTATGATTTCTTTTGATTAGAGGTGGCAAATATCAAGCTAACCTGCCAAGCCAACCTATTTTTTTTTTTTTTATGGGCAAGCCAACCTATTTGCCGAGTCTGTTTTTCCCTTTTATCTATTCAGCTTCTCAACTGACTTTGTTTTATTGACTGGTTTCCAGATCTATGATATCTTCCAGTTGCTTCCTGCCAATGTCCAGATAGGCGTCTTCTCCGCCACCATGCCTCCCGAGGCTCTTGAGATCACCCGGAAGTTCATGAACAAGCCAGTCAGGATCTTAGTCAAACGTGATGAGCTGACTTTGGAAGGTATCAAGCAGTTCTATGTCAATGTCGAGAAGGAAGACTGGAAGCTCGAAACCCTCTGTGATCTCTATGAAACCCTAGCAATCACCCAAAGCGTCATTTTCGTTAATACAAGACGAAAGGTTGACTGGCTAACTGATAAGATGAGAGCCCGCGACCACACCGTCTCAGCGACTCACGGTGACATGGACCAGAACACCCGTGACATCATCATGAGGGAGTTCCGGTCGGGATCTTCACGTGTCCTGATCACCACTGATCTCCTGGCTCGTGGTATTGACGTACAACAAGTGTCTCTCGTCATTAACTATGATCTGCCGACTCAACCAGAGAACTACCTCCATCGTATTGGAAGAGGTGGAAGGTTTGGGAGGAAGGGTGTTGCCATTAACTTTGTGACGAAGGACGATGAGAGGATGCTGTTTGACATCCAGAAGTTCTACAATGTTATGATCGAGGAGCTGCCTTCCAATGTTGCTGATCTCCTGTGAAGCGAGTAAGAGTGGAGATTTTTTGGTGGTGCGTTGAGAAGGAAGAGAAGAGGTTTCTTGCCTTTTCTGTTGTTTCTGCAAGCACTGTTTTTAACTTGTTGCTGTCTTCTCTTCTTTTGAGTCTGTTTTACTTTTTTTAATTTCTAGTCTTAATCTTAAATGTTCTCAAGGAGATCTTACTGTTTGAATCAGATGATGATGATGATGATGATGATGGGTCAAGTGCACTAGCTGAAAAGGGTTTTGTTTAGTGTTTTTTTGGGGGGTCATACATATATAATATACTTTTGTGAGGTATTTTTTCAGTGTTGCTCCTTTGCTTCTGCTTTCTGGTGGAATCTAGTCCTTTATCGTGGTTTGGGTAAATGTAATGAAGGCACTCTATTAGTTAATGCAGCAAGGTTAGAGTACTTAGATTCAATACTCATTCACCCTTATCGTAATCAATGATCTGAATATTTGATCTTAGTTACTGTTTTATCGTGGGCACCACTCCAACTGGATATTAGATTATGACTTGAATATTACGGTCTCGAGCAAAATATGATTTGAAGTTTTGAACACCCTTTCATCTGTTACATATGGAGCTCTTTTATCGCGGCATTCTCTCTTGCACTCGATCCAACATTTCTTTCAAATCTTTATCTCTATAATTCCGCACTGGCGAAGCATGAGGGGTAGCTGGATCAGAGCGGGAGGGAAGAAGAAAAAAGGAAAGATGAGAGGACTGGATCTGGATAGCGTAAATCTGAAATCTAATGGCAAAACCAAAATGCAGTATCCTGAGGGAGGAAGTCAAGTGTTCTGAAATGCTGGCAAAAATGAAAAAATCAAAATATGATTTGAACACCCTTTTCTGTTACATATGGAGCTATCTGAAATCTAATGGCAAAACCAAAATGCAGTATCCGGAGGAAGTCAAGTGTTCTGAAATGCTGGAAAAAATGAAAAAACACGCCCAGTGGGACTCGAACCCACAATCGCTTGATTAGAAGTCAAGCGCCTTATCCATTAGGCCATGGGCGCTTATTGTTAATAAATGATACCACGTTTTTAAATACTAATTCTCTATTCTACAACCAAATCATTCCATCCACCTCTCGTAGATTCATTCTCGTTGGTTCATTCGTTGTGACTTGTATCTAGTAAAGCGCCTTATCCATCAAATCATGGACACTTATTGATGAGGAATAGGATCAATTACTTACATTACTAGTATCTTGTTCCACGAGCAAATTATTTGATCCACCTTTCAAAAATTTATTCTTTGATCTGATCATTCCATTGCAATTTGTATCTAAAAATTTAGCTTCTCATATCTGTCAGAAATATTCTTGTATCTATCAACTTTCTTCTTTTCAAATTTCTCCATTTATTTTTCGAACCAAAACCTAGTAAGGCCAATTCTTGGCCTCATGGGACTAAAACAATCTATCAAATGACCTGTTCTTTATTATTATTATCAATTCAAATCTTTGAACAGTCAAGTCTGAGTATGATCCCAAGTGGCACATGCCCCATTGCCCATTTCTTTAACCATAAATTTCCAGCTCTTATTTGTTTTGTTTTGTTTTTTTGTTTCCTTAATCATCCAAATCTTCCAACAAACAAGTAGTGCATATGAATCAATCTCACTCATCATCTCACAAACTCCATGATACTAAAGTACATTACCAAAGTTTTAATAAACCTCCATACACAAACCCCCAAGCATTCAAAAAACTAACTATTATCTTTTTCTATTTATTCAAAAGGGTCTCTCTCTAATCTCTATAGTCAATATATCATATACCACTTTCCCCTCCATCCCACATTACAAGTTTCTCTCTTTTCCCCCTTTCTCCTCCTCCTCCTTCCTTCAATGGAGAATTTCAGATCCATGTCCTGCAGAGATGGGAGGATCTCAACCGACTTCGCCTACGAACACCAGCCGCCACCGCCAGGGCCAAGAAACATGCAAGGGCTGAGGTCTTACAGTGTAAGCCATGGAGCAAGACAACAACCCAATGAAGAAGTGAAGGCCAAGAAGCAAGAACATGTTGAAGTTGTTGGTTCAAGAAGCTGGGGGAAGATGAATTTTGATCCGGAGCTCCAGAGGAAGAAGAGGGTTGTTAGCTACAAAGCTTATGCAATGGAAGGCAAGATGAAAGGGTCATTGAAGAAGAGTTTCAGATGGATTAAAGATGCCTGCAATCAAGTTGTTCATGGATGGAAGTGAGAGTCATTTCATCTTCAAATCTGGATTTGAAGCGCAGCCCTTTCTGCCAAATCAGTCGGAATGAAGGAAATTACTTTGGATTTGAATAATCGAAATACATTCTTGATATAATTTATGTACACCTTCTTACTAGAGGAAAGAAACCAGTAATGGAATACTCTTTTAAGTCTTTTTACATGGTTTCTTGTATTGTTGAGTTTTGTTTCTTCACTGTGCTTCAACAAGAATGCAGAATGTCCCTACTTTATTCCCTATTTTCCTTCTTCATTTATTAAACTAATATGGTTGAGAGATCAATGATTAGGGTTTGTGGAAAAGTTTCGATCTTTCATTAACAGATTAGAATCAACGGTTTCCTCTGGAACATGGAGAAGATTTTTTGCGGTTGTCGGCCATGCTTGAAAGGCCAGCTAAGAATATTCATTCGACGCCCTTTTCATCTCTTTTCCATAACTGTCCTGGTCCCAAAACCAGAGCATGACAACTAGAATGATGAATAATTATGGGTTAAGGAGCTTTTTTGCATGTCAATCCATGCCTGAATTATGATCCATCTGTCGAGCTACATTGATGGAAGTAGGTACTTGGCCACTAAACTTTCACGTCACAATGAACTTTGCACAGTGCAGTCAAACAGCAAATTAGCTTCAACTCCCAAAGATCAATGACCACTAGGTATTTGGATGAAACGGCAGTGGACGAAGCGGAAGCCAGAATGTCGGCTTGAGTAATGCAAACATTCGTGAGAACCAATGCCCCAAATTCTGGCGGCTTGAGTAACGCAAACATTCGTGAGAACCAATGCCCCGAAAACCTATGGGTTCCAACGCAAGGTTTGTCCACGGAGGGTGAGTCAGGGCAACTTTAAGATAAACAGCAATTAAAACCAAACTTGCTTCTCATTAAGATGTGAAGTAAGAAAGCACTTCAGCCACATTCTGAATCATAAAAAAAAGTCAGATTCACTGGTCTCCTTGAGAAAAGGAAGTTGAGATCACCTGAGCAGTAGGGTACAGTTCAAACTTAAGAGGATGTACATCGGCAGCAGCAATAATAGTCTTGGCTCTTTCTTTTGGTCGCATTTTATGGATCTGAAAACTATAAAAGGTACTCTAGAAAAGATTCACTGCTATACATGAATTCATGAGCTCCATCAGATGGTCCATCATTGATCCCTAGAATCCACTCGAAGAGTAAAAACCGATCGACGGAATTAGATACCATAATCTGTTTGCACAAGGTTAGCAGCAACCAAGCGACAATATAACGACCGCGGCCAAGGGAGTTCGACCATTCCATGTCCAATTCACCAAGGAGTATAAAGATCTCAGCTTTACAGCGAAGGGCAAAGCATTTTCTCGGGATTGAGATCGGCTTTTTTCTCTTGGCCTAGTGAAGCAGTCTCTCGTCGTTATTGAACCGGAGGCTCTCGATGCCTCTAAGAGTGGATTCCAAGTTCTTACTGTTCGAGTTGCTGTTTCTTGCTGTGGAAGGTACAGCTTGTGTAGAGTCATGAGTGCTTGATATTGCAGGTCTTCTAGTAGAGGAGCTAGTTCGCATATGGTTAGAGCCAGATAACTGCATAAATCCCATGTTAGAGTGGAATGAATCATCAGTATTGGAGGGTTGAGTGCTGAACTTTTTGCATCTGTCATTCATACCGGAGCATCTTTGGCATCATTGACGAGAGGGCTCTTTAGCTTGGATAAAGTTGCAGAGCTTAGAATCGGTCCGGAAGTTCTCCTTCGAGGATCGCTTGAAGACCAGCCAGGTTTACTTTCTTCTCCACCCCCACCTACTCGAATAAAATAAAAAAGAGAGAAGCATTCCTTATAAGCACAAGAGATGAGAAGGCTAACAATTGCAGAAAAGCTTGAGGTGGAAGATAACTAAAAAACCTTGTTGTCTATCAGCATTTGCACCAGTAGGTGGCATTCCAGCACTAGGTCCAGCAGTGGGGCCCTGAAGATAAGATAAATGATCATCAGTCAGTGAAATTACCTGGAAACACCTAAGTGAAGAAAATGGCCTAGTGACTTACAACTGCGCGAGTAGGAGGATTAGCAATCTGTGACTGTTGATATTTCAATATAGTCCAGTCAAAAACATAGTCAAACTGGAACCCTGGATTGGAATAAGTAAGTCCATGATTCTTGTTAAAAGATTTCGCACGGCTAACAAGAATGAATAAGTCAAATGAGCATAGTACAGCACGAATCAAACCTTCACGAATGAAAAGATCACGGAATAGTCTTTTCAGGTATGCATAATCTGGCTTGTCGTCAAAGCGCAATGACCGGCAATAATGAAAATAGGATGCAAATTCGGTAGGGTAACCTCGACATAGAGCCTACAAAATGCAAACGAGATTCAAATCAGTTAGAAAGGAAATGATCATAAGTGGAAATAAATTCGGACTTCCAACACGACCGAAGCTTACCTCAATAGAAGTTGACACCTTTTTTTCACTGATCTTCTCGTACTTCTGCTTTTTAGTTCCAGCTCTTAGTCCCTGCCAAGGAAGACTAAACCAACATACGGTCATAACACACACAAAATTTACATGTAGCATACAGATAACTGAAATTGGATAGAGAGTTGAGGTGTCACCTTCCTCTGAGAAAATACATAAGAACATATCCAAGCGATTCCAGATCATCCCTGCGGCTTTGTTCTACAAAGCACATAAATAGCATAACATGGAAAAAGTATTAACTCACCAACTAGATATTAGTAGTTGTATGTTTCAAGTGCAATCACTAAAACCAAATAGGTTATACGTGTAACCATACCAATCCCAAGATGAGTATTCATGCTAGCATATCTTGCAGTTCCTGTCAAATTCTTGTTCTCCCTGCAATGTATTTAAGGTAGAGTTACACAAATAGAAGAGGCTGAAACAAGAAACAGGGTCACAAAGAGAGAGAACGCCATTTGTGACGGCTAGAAAACAGCTAGGAAGAGTAACAAGTTTCACTGCATATGGAATAGTTAACTCATGCTTCGAAATAACTGACCTGTAAGGAATGTGTTGATGAGTCGAGGTGTCACGATATTTCTTAGCTAGCCCAAAATCAATAATGTAGACCTGAGCAGAACCAGTATTAAAGATATGAATTAACACAACCAATAAGAAACAATCATATCCATGCCTAATAGGGACAGGTCTCCAAGGACATACCTGATTGGCACGCCTCCCTAAACCCATGAGAAAGTTGTCAGGTTTGAGATCCCGATGTAGGAACGATTTGGAGTGGACAAATTCAACTCGATTAATCTGCGAGAAAGCAGAACTTCCATTTGTCAATAAAATATATATGAGCGACCAACCAAAGAAGATACCAACAGCATATCGCACACGATGCTTACCATTTGGTCTGCGAGCATGAGAACAGTCTTGAGAGACAGTTTCCTACTGCAAAAGTTGAATAGATCTTCAAGACTGGGTCCCAGCAAATCCATCACAAGAACATTGTACTCTCCTTCCACTCCAAACCATTTGACATTTGGAATTCCAGCTGCAAAATTTGAAAGCAGCTAACATATGAGTCTCTTCCCATATATAAACTGCAATCCTCAACATGATGACATAGATAGATACCAAAATAGTAAAGAGAAGTCATTACTTACTTCCTCCTTGAAGTATTTTGTACAACTTTGATTCATACAGCAGCTGAGGATGCTTTGTCTTCACATTTTCCTGGATCATAAAGAGAAACATACCGGAAATTTATCAATGTAAGGAGATAGTACATCTATGAAGAAACTCCAAACGAAATCAGACTGAAATCAAGTCCTCCCCATTCCGACACCATCAGCTTCAACCATACAAGGATCAATCACACTTCAGCATTCGCTACACAACTCTACACAGATACCCAAATTGGATTGAATTCGAACCCAGTACATGAAGCCATAAAGAAATGTCTTGTAGACACCGCATTTAAGTAGAACCGACCAAATTACTCGAAAAGGAAACGCATTTTAAACAACCACATCCGAAAGACAGAATCACCATTTTGGAATGCCAGAGAATGCACACTCTCAGTTCCCTCGAATTCCATTCTAATGAAGGACGTAATTTATTGAAAAGCAGAGACCGAATCTCAGATAAAATTGCATTGAAAATGCAAAACACAGACAAGAAACGAAATTCGAATTGGGTGTTCATAAAGAATGAAATAGAGAGAACTTACGAGCTTAATTCCAACCTCCTCGTTTGTTTGAACATTAGTACCTGCAAAGGACCGTCAATAAGACAAATTCTGAAAAAAAAAATTGAAGAAAGAAAATGCAAATGAAAGGGATGGAGAAGAAGCAACGAACCGAGATAGATCTCTCCAAACGATCCGCTGCCGATCTTCCGACCGAGACGAAACCTGTTACCAACGCGAGGCTCCATGATGATTTCCCACCCCCAGCAACCCTAAAGCAAGCTCTGAGCTTTTTTCCGCTCGCGCGAAAGAAAGAAACCGACGGAATCTCTCGCGGAAAAAAGGGATCAAAAAATCAAACGAAATCCTGACCCAGTAAAGCCAATCGGAAATCCTTCCCGTTCATTTTTCTTGGAGGCAACAACCGGGGAGCGACACGACGAGTAACGGTGCCGATCGAGAGGACCGACGGCGGAGCGTGAGGAAGAGAGATGAAGAGAGAAAGGGATATTTGGTGGAATTAAACTACGAACTTTCCTCTCAGTACAAGCGATAATTTAAGAGAGAGAGAGAGAGAGAGAAGAGGGCATTGTTGTCTTGGCCTCCGCTTTTCTTCCTTCAATATCTTTTTCTTATTAATATTTTTTATGAACGTCCTTGCTGTTGCGTGTTTTTTTTACATAATAAGTAAATAATTTTCTAAATAGGAAATTCTCGAAAATTAATTACAAGTTCTTATTTTAAGTTTTGTGGTTTGCCACATTTGAGATTTGCTTATATGATTAGAGCGGTTAATGAGTCGAGCTGAACCGAGGTTTGCCTTGTTCAGATTTGGTTCATTTATTAACGAGCCGAACTCGAGTTCGACTAGTTTATGAATGAGTTGAGTCGAGCCGAATATAAGCCAACTCATTTATTGAATTTTGTCTCATCATTAAAATCAAAATTTTGGCTCGAATTCAACTTTGAGATATTTTGTGGATTAAATACCCTAATATATATGTCATATATGATACATGTGATTAAATGATCATCATGTCATATACAAGATATATTTGCTCACCTTTTCAAATTATTAAACATCACATGAGGTGTGATATACAATTTAATAAATATTTGCATCATTAACAAACCAACTCATAAGATATAGATCGATTTTCTCATTAGCCATAATCAAATTGGCTCATTAGTTATAATGTTGAGACATCCCATGAACTCAAAATGAGATAGTTCATGACTCGAACTCAACAAGCCACCTAATCGAGCTAGTTCATGAGCCTCATGAGCCGAACAAGGATGAGTTCAAGTTCAGCTCGTTAATAAACAAATCGAGCTTTTATTGAACCAAACGAGCTTTTATCGAGTTCGATACCGAGTCGTTCGCGAATAGTTTGGTTCATTAACAACCCTAGATATGATTAACTGATTAAATGAGATAAGGAGGTTGGAGAATACAAATAAACATACGGACACGATAGTGCTTAAGCGAAGAAATGGGCTAACAATAGTTCATATAGTATCATAGGGCATTAATATAGAGATATGGATCGTCTTATAAGTACAAAACTTGGAGAATCGATATAATAGGAGCACACATATGGATTACGGTGGCAAAAATTCGAATATGTAGGTATCCTATTCGACTCATTCTAGACAAAGAGGGTAAAACCCGTATTGACAGATTGTGGACCGATTTTGAGTTGAAACATGTTTTACTATTTTGCGAGTTGGGTTCAGGTTTAGCCATACTCGACCCATGAATACATGTAACCACACCCAAGCTCCCTCAACACTTAACCCTAAATTCCTTAAACTTGGTGTGTTTATCTTTGTATTGAACAATTAGCAAGGATAATTTGTGAGTTTGTTTGTATGTACTAGACAATTGTAGTGGAAAATGGGTGTTTTTGCATTTTTGTCCATGAACCCATGAAAATCTATGAATTCGCACGTACCAAATGGATTGGGTTGAGGTTTCAGAACCCATAAGCTATTTCTTCGGATTTTTGTTGTGGATAAACCCGCTGAATTGAGTTTGGATTTGATAGAACCACCCATTAGCATATCTACCGGACTACTATGTCAGTTTCATAAATATTCATTATAGTGATTATCTTGTCGACATAAAATGTGTCATTGAGTTAGTGGAATGATTTAACAGTAATTGTTTGTTATTTTGACATAGTGGAGAATAAGGTAGTTGTGAATGACATTTTCTAGCTCTTTCATCAGTTTCCTTATCAAATGCTTGTCTTTTCTCAAATAAAAAAATTGGGATGTTATACCAATCTCATGTTTCTCATAAACTTAGATCAAGAAACTAGATTATGCTTTAAGTTTATACACTCCGTGACTTGAGCTCATTCTTGTTTTTTGCATAATCAAGAAAACAAACCCTGGCGGATATCAAACAAGGAATCCTTATTCGAATAGGATTAGGCTGGACCCTTTTTCCCATGAAATTTGTTCATAGAATTTGGGGTTCTTTCTATTATTTGAGTTATTAGTTATTACTAGGGCTTGGAGTTTGACTTTATGCCACCAAAGCAATGAGATTCCCCTAATAAAATAAAATCTCTACTATACATATATATTCTAAATGATAAATCTACACTTGCATAAGTGAACTATAGAAAGAGTATCCAATATGATTAAGGACAACCGTTTTGTTAGGGTACATGATTAGGACAACTAATGAAACCATATAAACAAGTCCAATCTTTGTTCTCTCAACCTAATATGGTATCCAGTCTTCAAATGGTAGTTAGGAGGTTGGCCTCATAATTCCTAAGGGTGTGTTTGTCTCATTTTCTGCTAAACAAAGAAGTAATTTATTTCTAAGCATTAATAAAAGTGAAACAAAAGTACATTTTGTGATGTTTTCATAAAGACAAGATTGATAAGTTATACGAAACATTTATTGGTAATGTACACGTTGATATATTTGAGTTTAGTTCAATTATTTACGATACTTTTAAAATGATTAACGTTATACTTAGTTTCATTTGCTGTGCTTCAAATTTTTTTTAGTCTCAACTCAACAAATTTATCTCTCAAACAATTTACCCAAATTCAAACAAAATAATCTAGTAAAGCCAAAAATATGAACGGTAATTGTTTTATTAACAATAATTATGCAAAAAATGGAATAAAAATGTGATAACTAATTTACTAACTACTACTAAAAAAAAAGCTAATAGTCACATTTCTCTTAGTAAAAGGACAACTAGTTTCTTGATTATAATAACTAATAAGTGAGGAAAGCTATCTCATTTTTCTTCTCCCTACATTGTTTTCTTCACCACGTTCTTTAATTTCTATAAGCACAATCAATTCTATCAACAAAGTTTTGGATAAATTTCAAGAAAAAGAATTCTTAGAAGGGATAAGGATTACCCAAGGAATAAGGGATCTTCCACTAAACATTCCAAGAACAATAATTCTTTGTCAAATTGCTTCAATTATTTATATAAAAAAAAACTCCATACACTTTAAGTTGTTTTGTCAAATTTTGTCATATTGATTTTTTATAATTCCGTCCACTTTGAATTCATGTCAAGAATTTGAATGCATTTGCACAAATTGAGAAATCATCTAACATATCACACTAGTACACATTAAACCTTTTTTCTCCATAGATAGCATAATAGTAACATTGGTCACTGGCTTACTGTGCCACTAAGAGTGAATAAACTATATTGCTTTCTTTTGATAATTGGAGGCTAGTGAGATGAAGCCATTTGTGTGACCTAATATGATAATGATACAGTAGAATAGTAAAAATAAACATGCTCAACTCTGACTTGCATTGGATTAAGCTATGAAAAGATACACATGTTGGCAACCAGAAAGAAGAACTGCAAGAACAAGAACAAGGTTGCTACTGCTACTGCTGTAAAAAAGTTAGATATTAACTATTTACTTCACATTCACAAGCGGTTAACTTGGTTCACTCTGTCCCTTCAGTAATCAGAGAACTTTACATACACATAATCTGAACCAGTTTTTCTCTTCACATTTTCCTCTTTTCTTTTTCCCCTCCCTACTTCCTTTCAATGAGCTCTAAACAAAAAGAAGAATTAGTAAGGCAAATTGACTCTCAGCAAGGAAGGGGAGGCCTCATGAAGAAGGAACCAGGAAAATTTTGCTAATGGCCAAAGAATAATCCCTAAGTAGAAAAAGTAAAAAAATGTAACCAACCCAGAAAAAAGAATTAGAGTGAAAAGAATGTAACCCCAAAGATCCATCCGCCGCAAACCCTTAATCAAGATTGTGAAGGCCTATGACTGTGCACTGCTAAAGTGTTCTTCTTCTGCAGCCTACCTTTCAAAAGCCTGATCTTTGCATCAACCCTAGCCGAGAACCCGATCTTGGTTTCTTGCCTAGCCTTTGACCTTTCCCTCCTCCACATATGTTGATCCTCAACGTCCTTCTTGTAGTACTTGATCTCTTGAATAATGTGATGATCCATGGGATTGAAGCACCTTTGGAACGAAATGTGAGCCAAGTAAGGAAGGTTGCACGTGATGGTCACCAATAAGATCGCGCACCAATAGAGTGGCGCTGGACCGAGAGCTTCCACGAGGATTTGGTATGCATTTCCCGAGTAGGCTGGAGACACCATCCCGTATACAAATAGGAACAGGAACCACGTGGCAATGCTGCCCCATACTAAGACGTGCTGGATCCAGGTGAAGTGACTCATGGTGAGGGCGATCTGGCAGTTCACAGCACAAATGATGCAGGAGAACATTGTGGTACCCACTGCTGCCATGTCAGCAGTCTGTCCACTAGCTCGGAAAGCTTGGTTAGAGAGGATGAGGATGTTGAGGAAGTAGATGGCGAGGGAGGAGTATAGACCATTCCCCATCCAGCCAAGTATCCTGTACCAGTCGAAGAACAGGTTCTTCGGGCCTTGTTGGTATAATGCAGGGAACTGCACAATACACAAGAGTTAATCATGCGTTGCAAGGATCAACAAAATGACATTCTGAAAATTGGTGACCAAATTATATTGCGAAGGACTGGATGGGAAAGAAGCACGTACCTGTAAGCAGACTTCTGAAGGAACATCTTGTTCAAAGACTCCAAGTGAGATGACTGGCAATGAGGTGAGAAGGACATTGAACAGAAGCATGTACCAGTCGTCGTAGATTGATTGCCCGGAGAAGGCGGTGAATGCCTCGAAGTAGAAGAGAGTAAGACCAAAAGCAATGTTCTTGTAGAAGAAATAGCAGATCTGATAGCAGGACAACCACCAATCAAAATTCAACAAAAGAAAAAACAGAACTTGTGGCGCAAGAAAGAAGGAACCATGACTTGATGTATTCACCATTTGAGCTATTCTCTTGTAGCACCAGTGTCCATGGACTACTAGAAGTCTTTCCAAGAACCGGAATTGTGAAATTGAGAAATCACTCGCCATCACAGCCTGTAAAAGTTAAATTCACAGATTCAGCAAGCCACCTTCAATTTCAGAAGCAAGATCATACAAGACACGATCTTTTCCATTGGGATTCAAAGTTAACCATTTATGTTACTAAAACCACTCAAATACCCATCAAGTTGCATTTGAGAATGCTGCA